TGTGTTTGCTGTATAGACTGCTGGTAGTCTGTGTTTACAGGCAATGTTTGGGTTCTGCCTTGTGTCAGCTGCAGCCATTGGTGTGGATTACCTGTGGGTGTCACAATGATGAACGGGCTGTGGGAGCTCGATGAAGTGTTTATGACCAAAAGGCGTTGTTGCATGTAACTAATCAGGCCTGAGGCTGGTAGTCACAGGTAGTGCTCCTTTGGCAGACCCTTCTGAACGGTAATGCGATGATGCCTAATGGTGTGTAGGATGTGTTCAGCGGATGTTGCAGTGACATCACACAGCTGCTGGACTCAGTCTTTGGAGTGACCAGGACTTAGAAGGGCTTTCCACCAGGCTGTGGTGCCGCGGCTACATGCAGCCAATTTTCACTTCTATTTATTGTTGTAACCTAAGTAGGAGATGTCTAGGTGGCCTCTGCACTTTGTTTCAAGTGGACAGAATAATAAATTATGCTGTAACAAATGGTTTGTTTCAAGCTGCCTGTTATTTTATCATCACATTCTGCACACGCATGATGGATAAGCTACGAGGCCCAGTTGTTTGTATGAGTGGATAGCATGCCAAAGCAAACACGTGCAGGGCTAAAAAAAAAAAAAAAAAAAAATGCAGTGAGAGGCAGCAACATAATTCTGCAGCAGATCCCGGATCTGTGGGTTCACACTGAGGTGAGACAGGCAAGAAGTAGAACAAATAAAAACACCCCTGAAAGTCTTTGGCTAAATAAATTATGTGCAAAGACGAGTAAGCTTGCGCTTCATGAAGTGGTGAAAGCTCAGTGTTTCTCACTGGCCTGTCCTGAAGCCTGGAGCCAGAGGCTTTGATTCCTCTGTCAAACACCACTTCATGCATCTCCACAGCTGTTACCATTACTGTAAGGCTCATCATGTGTACTCATCCCTACTGCACTCAGGCACTGTACCTTCACCATCACTCTGTTGCTGTAGGATCAAACGTACTAAAAGATTAAATGAAAGCTTTTTGTTAAAGGTTTTCTCTGATGAGAGGACACAAAGAAAGAAAGGAAGAAAGTTGTAGTGGGTCAGAAAAAGAGAGAGCAGAACTATGGCATTACAAAAGGGGAGAAGCAGAACCTATCCCAAAGCCACTCTTGTGTAGCGGGTCCTTGCAGTTCTGAGCAGCCTCTAATTAGGGTAGTATTCAGGGGTGGCATTAGTTCCCAAACTTTTTTAATGGGGTGGAAAGCGGAGCTCCTTTTAGAGTAAGGGGATAAGTGTAGTGACTGTTCCATACACCGAATAGCAGATGGAGAGATTCTGCACCTCCCTGGGAGCTATTCACTCCTTTTACGCTTTTTTCCTCATTCCTCCTCCTCTCCCAATCCTCAATTGCTCTCTTTTTTTATATACTTCTGTGTTTTCACCTTCATCAGATGTACTCAGGTTTAGACAGAATTTTGGCTTTTATAAAGCAATCCAGGAAACAATATTAACCTACAATGGATCATTGTGCAGTGTCCCTGTAATAAATAAATAGATTTAATGCTTGTATAAAATTGACTTTTAAAGTAAATACTATTTATTTCAGATTTTTGTTTAGTGGGGATCAAACATGAATGGAGAAAACACATAAAGCTTTCTTTTTAAATTAATGAGGAAATTAAAAGCGTGGTTTCTGATTAGATTTGACCTACAACATCTTCTCAGATGGATTTCCTTTATTTACTGGTGTTTTGAAATAAAACCTTGTAAATATTCTCTTCTCACCCTTTATGAAGTAAAAACATTGTACTGAGTTACTTTGTGCAATTGTTCTATAAAGTATTGTTGTGATGGAGGTGGGGGTGATAGTTGGTATAGATGTGTGTGTGTGTGTGTGTGTGTGTGTGTGTGTGTGTGTGTGTGTGTGTATTAATCTCACTGAGGACTTAAATTTATTTAATTTTAATTTTGCATTTTTTATAGTGCAATATTATTCAAACATGTTATTTTTACTGCTACACTGCTTTTATTGGGTTGGTGGGGGGGTAAATAAGCTTTAACATACACAGGTCAACCCGCATTTATTATTTATGAATAAAAGGTTTATAATTTAATTACCTTAGAATGTTTCTCACTGGAGGAAAACCAAATCCTATTTTCCAGAACGGGGTCATAATTAAGCTGAAGTGCTCCAGAAGTTCAAACTGTGTATAGAGGCTCATAAAACCATTTCCTTTACTGTTTTATTTTGGAACCGACCACATTTTAATCCAAATAATTCCTACATGTGTTTTTAAACTTTTAACGCCAATGAACCGAGCAGCAAATTGATTCCTGGTAGTTTTTGCTCTGCTATGACTAAATCTAACGAGGTCAGCTGACGTTTTGTTCACTAATGTGTGTATCAAGGGTAAGAGACCGAACCTGTTTACTGGTCTGCAGCTTAAAGTAGCCGAGTCTTTATTTCTTTGAAATACAAATTGTTTTCACAGTCTTGAAGGGTCCCGAACACATTTTACCCAAAGCCTGGTGTCTTTTATGGGCTGAGCGTTACGCTTTATCCCCTCTCCTCCTGACCTCTGACCCAGCATGGTGAACTGGTAACTGCGCTTCAGTCGTGCTCAAGGAGCCCGATGTGCACACTATCCTGCCTTGGCTACCTCTATCCTGCTGTTCGGACTGGCTCTGCAGCTCAAACACCTGATACTTGATTCTGACTGACATTTTAGGTTAGGTTTAGAAATGATAAATGTCTTTTTGTTAACTAAATAAATACACTTAACCATGTGTCCCCATACGTTTCATAACTAGGCTATTTATTCATCAGATCAGATGGGCCATATCGTCACAGAAATAAACATTGATGGTGTTTATTTCTCAGGCGTCAGTGTCGCCAGCACCTGGACCAGTTGACGAGCCAACCCCGTCACTTTAATCAGCCACACTGCAGGTAGACTACTGGGTTACGTGACAGAAGTCGTTAATAGTTCAGTTCTGATAACTGTGCACGCAAAGCCTATTTTATTTTTGCCTTGCGTGTCGTTTAACTGGAGCCCTGGTCAAAATGGCCTTCACATGTGGTCCATGGTGTAGCCCAGTAACATAGGAGCCGTTTGGAGTATGACGACAGTGTTTCCAAATGAAGTTTGATGAGGTTTGTAATTTCTTCCAATCCCAGGGTGCGTTCTGGATCTACAGTACATGTAGCATTAATAACCTCCCTTAACTACTTGTGGGCTATTCATCAAACAGGCTGTTACCGGAACATTTATGTGGATCAATAGATTAAAAGACTGCTGACTTCATTCCAAATCGGCAGAGACCCATAGAGAAGCTTGGAGCCCTATAAAATAGCAGGACCCCAGACACACTAGGCCTCTTTAGAGAAGGATAACTGAAATATCGGTAGTATTGATTAAAAACACCAAACCGTGTGTGTGAGTCGTGGTACTAATAGGTAACACACATTCTTATTGGATCAAACTGCGAAGAACGCGCACATTATATATCTAGATGCATAAAAACAACCACACAGCACAAGACAAGATGCAGCCTGTCGGTACTGTTGCGCTGGAGGAACAAGTTATTACAGTATTAATATTGTCCTTTCCCTGTTTAGTCCTTGATTTGTAAACAGTTTCATACAGTAGCTATGTGCCTGACCTCGTACTGCTCTCCCTCTCTCTTCTGTGTCTGTGTGTGTGTGTGTGTGTGTGCGCGCGCGCCTGACTGTCTGCCTCTCGTTGCGCCTTACATCATCACGCCATAGCTGTCCTCCCGTGGCCTAGTGAAGTGGCGCTAAGCGCTGCACCAATTTAGCAGCTAGTTACTCCACACACGTTGCTTTGCACCAGGGGAGACAGACGCACGGTCCACGGGCGCGCAGATCCAGTCACGGAGGCAGCGGGGATGCAGACTATAGGCTACATACACAACTCATGAAAAATTAAATGAGGGTCTGGCACATCATCGTGCAGCATCACGGAAACACAGGTGTGTGTCAGCCCTGAGCTTCAGCACCTGCCTCGGGCTGAAATGTGCTCCGGAGACGAGTAGTGCTCGTCAGTTGTTTGAAAAAGCAAGATTAGATCATCCATTTACAGGTTTTACTTTACTTCAGCAATCTATTTACAGGTTTTACTTTATATCAGCTCCTAACGCTGATAATTATCTACAATCATCCATTTACAGGTTTTACTTTACTTCAGCTCCTAACGCTGATAATTATCTACAATTTGTTCTGTACTCCGTAAAAACAACACTCTCTCTGGCTTTTTGTGTCAGCGACCACTTGTGTGTTACAAATGGCATTTCCTTTCCTGTGTGGGGAAAATAAAGATCAAAATAAAAGGGAATAAAGTGGATTAAAGTGGTTTTAACCTCCAAAATATCCCTGTCCATGAGCCCTGCTGGCCCCGTGACGCGCCAGAGCGAGACCCCGGCAGCAGCTTTTCATTTTCTCTATCAAAACTGTGTCAAATAAGAGAAGATAATGAAATACTGGATGAAAAGTGTTTTCTCCAGCTGTGGGCATCAGCACCGGTATAATCACCGACCTGAAGCAGGCAAAATACAACCCCTGTCTCACCCCACTGATACCTTCCTATCCGCTGACCGTAATTACCCGGATGAGTGTGAGCGAGGTCAGATGGACACGCAGGCCCTATGTGCGCATGTTCCACAGTTCCGTACTCACAGTGCAGGTTGGGCTACAACATCTGAACAAGCTGGATTTGTAAACAAGATGCGCAAACTGGGTTTTGTGGCACATTACGCCCAAACACACACTCTCTGAAATGGAACGAACACCTTTTATCCTCCAGTCAACGCCATCATCAGTACTTGATTCATATGCACAGTTTAATATAAAATTCAAGCAAAATCATAAACACCACCACTTTAATGTTCTTGCAAAACCATTTGGCCTCATTTCCTTCTGAGTTATAGCTCTAAACGCTGGGGCGCAGCACCAGGTCCATGAAGCTTCAAGTTGTTTATTTCCAAACAAATTAGCTTTTTTTTTTTTTTTTTTTTTTTGCAAAACTGTGTCTCTTAATACAAAGTTCAAATCAAAACCTTAAAAATGTTTTGATTCGCCAAACTAATAAGAAAATGTGTTTGACACAAATACATCGTTTTCCTATTTTAAACGTGATCATTTATAACCTGTTTATCAAGTCGATATCCTGAGAGGGTCCTAAACAGTGACTGAAACGAATCACTTTATGAAAAATACAAGGACAGTTCGTGGTCAAAGGTCTGATTCACACCGAATAAAATTAACATAAATATATATTTAGAAACAGCATGAATAGAGGCACAAAGCGTATTTTTACGTCCATCATCCAGCTGCGTGCTATCAAATAAACATACAAAAATAATCCTACCTTCGAAGAGGGGCGTTATTTAGTTTTTGTTGCTTTTTCAGTTTGTTTGTTTGTTTGTTTTACTTTCTTGAAAAGTTTGTAGTTAGGACATTTAACAGCCGCTAGTGCCGCTGGCAACTCTGCTCGGAAAGTTTTCAACTGGGTGTAAAACGGCTCCGGGGTGGACGGTCTGCGACTGGCTGGCCGCTGGAGGGCCCAGAGAGGACGGTAAGACCGGGACAACGACCGGAGGAGTCCTGGAGGGGCTCAGAGACCCTCCGATGATGCTCTCTATGGAGAAGGGAGACCGCTGCACCGGAGAGCTGGACTTCTGCACCGGGGCTGCAGACTGCACGGTGGCTGAGCCCAGACTGGAGCTGAGCTGGGGGTAGAACCTACTCCTGGCTAAGTCCGTGGTGGTAGGCATCAAAGACGGTGCAGGGATTATGGTTCCCGTGTGCGAATGTGAGTGCCTCGAGTGCTGTTGCTGATGCTGCTGAAAGGCAAAAAGCGCAGAGTGCGTGTGGTAAGACTGGAGCTGGATCCCGTATCCTCCGCAACTGTACGGTCCGTATCCATACGCAGCACCGGCGGGGACGAAACTGTTGTGCTCTCGCAGCAAGTCCTGCGCCTGCTGCCGCTTGAATCGTTTCCTCCGCCTCAGAAAACTCCCGTTGTCAAACATATCAGCAGACTCCGGGTCCAGGGTCCAGTAGTTGCCCTTCCCGGGGTTCCCGGGCTCCCTCGGTATCTTAACGAAGCAGTCATTGAGGGATAAGTTGTGTCTGATGGAGTTCTGCCAGGCCGGGAACTTCTCCCTGTAGTAGGGGAAGCGGTTGCTGATGAAGTCGCAGATCTCGCTCAGAGTCAGCCTCTTTTTGGGACTCTGCAGGATGGCCATGGTGATTAAGGCGATGTAGGAATAAGGGGGCTTCACCAGGGTGTTCTTGGCCGCAGGCTTGTAGGTATCCCTCGAGGAGGTGGAGTTGTCAAGGCACGGAGGAGGAGAGCCGGCCAGAAGGATGCCATCGTGCATCTGCGCCACCTCGTCCACATAAGAGCGCGTCTGGTTGTCCCCATCCTCCCCTTCACCGACCACGTCTATGTCGGTCTCTTCCGAAAGGATGGAGGCATCCGACATCTCGGAGCTCAAAGTCATGGCTCTCACACGGATGTGCCCTCCAACGCCAGATGAGGGGACGATGAGATGCTCAAGCTGCTCTACCGTGCCTCTTCAAAAACTCATACGAGGAGGGGGAGAGGGGAGAAGCACGTGTCGCCGCCGGTGAGAGAGCCCCCCCGTCTTCTCGCTGTTCCCATACGTCTTCGGGTTTCTTATCGCCGACTAACGAACGGTCCCGTCGATGCCAGACTGAGAAATATACCGAGGAACCCACAAAAGGACCAAACCTGAATCACAGAGGGTGCGGATCTCCTCTCCTTATTTATACCACAGCCCTGATCACATGGTGCGGAAACGTCACCGAGACGAATGAAAAGAGAAAAAATAACTAACAGAAAGGTCTTTGAGAATGAACTGAGTGGTTTAAAAAGGTTTGGTGTGGCCTACATCCCTTTTAGTGGTCATTCATGGTGGACAGCCACATAAGATTATTCCACAGTGTTTTGCGTAAAAACAGATGCTGAGGGATCAAACAGGTCTAGTCCAGACAAATTACTGGTACAGTCATAGAAATGAATGTTTTGACAAGCTCTTTATTTATTTAAGCTTAGTGTGATACATAAAAGGAGCGCACTCACATTTCGATTGGTTTTGAATAAACAATACCTCAAAACACCAGGAATAAAATCTAAGATATGCCCATAATGTACATTTATATATTACCCTGGTTTGGTGCACCATGTCCAGGCAGCTCGGTTTGTGTGATCCGGTAGTTTTCCAGTTTATCCGCAAACCTTTTGTGATGGAAAAGTGTCAGCTGTTAACTCGAATCAGTCACGGGTCACGCAATGCATGCAAGCCCCAGATATAAGGCCTCAGCCGTGCGTCTGGAGCACGGCGCTGCCGTGCGTGGACATTTGTACTTATTTGATTTTTTTTTTTATTCACTTGGGAGGATGACATTATTATTCTACCGAGGTTTATGGCCTATGTGTTTAACAACCCAAAAATGAGATCTAAAAATACATGAATGAATTTAAAAAGATGTGCAGAGCCTCAAGAAGGAAGGCTGTTCATTTTCAGTCAGGATGAAAAGTGCACAGTGTGCGTGTCTATTCAAACATGATCATATATTAGTTAAGACAATATAACGTCTCATATAGTCTATGCATTGAAAGTGAACTTTAATATGTTTGTCCAGTTAAGATACGATATATTATGAAATGTTTTATTCCGGACTAACATCTCACTACCTTCCATCTTCGACTCGGAGACTGAATGTGGTTTTGTCACTCGTTCTCATTTTTTTGTCACTGATAACAGGAGACGTCCAGCAAAATAAACAAAACGAACACGTTTACAGGCCACATGTACATTTGTCGTGTCCAGTCCCATTATTAAAGAAAAACAACTTTCCCAAACTTCAGTTCATTTATTTCTCATAGGTTTGTTTAACAATGATCCGTCATCAGTTCGGTTTCATAAACGTAGATGACCCAAAACAGCCTAACAAACACTTTGCATACTGCTACGTCCCGTGTGGCCCTGCGTGCACTGATTTCCCATATGTTTGCACTGGACCAGCGCCATCTAGCGATGAACTGATCTCACTATTAACAACACATTTCTGTACTAAAATATAAAAACCGTCCACAGCTGTAACATTTAGGAGCAGGCCCAACTTCCCCTAAACTGGACAATGTATTTCTAATATAGAAACTGGTTTGTCGAGCCTCCAGTCCAGTGTCAGTGCGTTGCTGTAAAATGACTGAAGTTCTAAAAAAAAAAATAAAAGAAACTGCAGATTGTAGGCCTAATTATTTCTGCTTATACTGATGTTCATTTATTACTTATCACTTATAACCGGGCAGAGGAGCTCACCACCCACTTTACTTGAATTATTTTGGTTATTCAAAATTAAACGAATAACCAACAACTAAAACACATCCATGCTCAGACTATTGTTTGTTTCCTTTCAAACGAATAGTTTTTCCCTGATCACTTTTAGCCGTCATTGATCCATAATAATAAATAGCCTGTTGCTGGATTGTGCGATATTATTTAGTTTTTATTTTATCAGTGATGGTGTGAATTCGTCCTTCATTGTAGAGAATGTGAGTATGAAATAGCTGCATACCAGCCCACATTAGTCTTCTCTAATGCTTCACTTGACTGGTAAAGGCAGAGACATCCAGTGCTGACCTCACACTGAATTAGGCCAAAGCGTCGTGAGATTCGCTGCTGAATGATTTATTTAAAATGTTCTAAAAGAAAAGTATTTGGGCCTATAATGCGATCGTAGCTGCAGAGCTAAAGAGATGTGCACACGGACTTCAATTCAAACGTGAATGCGCTAAAATGACGACTGGGTGACGGTTCTTTCCTCCTTCTCTCCTCACTAGACCCGAAACGAGGCTCCAACAGCGGCGCTCGCTCCCGGATTAAACCACGTCCAAACGTGTTTCTATCGGATCCTGCCTGCCTCCTGCTCTTAACCCCCACCCCCATGAGGTTTTGTAAAAATAAATAAATAAATAAATAGCACAAGCCTTTTGATTTTTCTTTATGAAAGATCATGTAGGTGTGAATTCATTATGATGAAAAACTCCAATGAACCGCCATAAACTTCCTCCCTTTTGGTGGATAAATTACTGAACAGTATAACTGATGAGATGAGACAATTAGTTGATTAATGAATGTTTTTATTATTAAAGTTCATGTACCAAGTTTTTTTTTCTCAGTTCACCAAATGGTGAATCTTTGGGTCTTCAACTGTTGGTCAGACAAAACATTTGAAGCTGTCAGCTTGGGTTATGCATGGGATTGTAGCATTTTTTCATTACTTTCTGACATTTTGTGGAACAAATAATTGGTCATACGTCACAAAAATATTGGTCAAATTATTCAATAATGACAATATTTTTTAGTTGCAGCTCTATTAAATACTCTGCCCATGATCTGGGGCCCCAAAAGAGCGGATAAGGCTCCGATGTCTGTGAAGAATTACTGTTGTAATTTTCAGTCACTGGAGGCAAAAAAGACTTCGTGATACTTTAAAATGTGGCTGCTTTACAATGAAACGACAAACAGTGTTATATTTGTGAAGCTTTTTTTATGCAATGAAGCACACTCATAGTGCTTTTACACTATTTTCCACACACCCACACAAATCACACAATGATGGCACAGCCACCAGGAACAACTTGGTCTTTAGTGTCTTGTCCAACACTTCAACATGTGAGCTGGAGAAGCTGGGATCTAAACTATCGACTCTCGGGTTAGGAGATGACCAGCACTACCTCCTGAGCCACAGGTGCCCCAGTTTTCACATTTTACATTGTATGATTACAATGTTTCATGTATTTAAACCCCACTCCCCCTCTATTATTGACACAACCATGTGTTTAATTGTTGCACAGGTGTGGCAGCATTAGAAGTGGAGGGGCCATCTAATCACTGAGGATGCTTACAGGCATGAACTGGACCCTGAGCAGACATGTAGAAGGCCCCCTACCTCTCTACTTTTAAGAGCAATAAGACTCAAAGACAGAGCAACCATTTGATTTTGGTCAATCTGTCTTCTTATGTTTTTTTTTTTTGTCCATTTGTAATTGTTTTACATCTGTTTTTATCAATTTTGCATTTGTATGTAGTGATTTTGCACCTACATGTTGGATTATTTATTATTGTACTTAGCATCTCCTTGTAGTTGTTTTGTGTCTCTTGTCATTTTGCAAATTTCTGTAGTCATTTTGCTGTCTTTTGGGTTGTTTTCTGTCTTCTTAGTGGTTTGTCAGTCGTCAGTGAGCCATCCATACATACAGGGCACAGATTATTGTGCTTTATGCCACATTTCTCAGTTAGCCTGGCATGCCTGCTGTGACTGTTAAATGTTACTTTAATCAGGTAAATAAAACACCTTTTGCCATTAAAACAGGGTGCATAATAATTTTATGGTTATCACTGTAATTGTATGTATGATGCTAAATAATAGTAAACGTATTTTGATTTAACACAATTCACTCATGGGGTTTATTTCATAGCTACAATAGAACACCCAAATGAAGAGATCGCCTACAACATGAATTTTAAATAACTATATATAAATTTCAAACATCCTAATGCTAATCGAAACCTTTACATTTAACTGATTGATGAAGGTTATTGGGGGTGTGCTGAAGTGTTGCCTGCAAAGCGGAACTCAGGGCAGGAAAGACCCAATACTAGCTTGCACGTTTGACCTACGTCACTTCCTCCTTCCTCTCTCGTTTCCAGCTTGGTCCCCGCATGTGTCGGCTGTTAGTTTACAGGTCAGTGAGGAGCTTTAAATACCTTCTTCTCCGCACTGTTTTCTCCCGACTCGAAAGGAAGAGGTAAACGGAAGCCTTTTCTGATTAGATGGCTGAACTCTGCCGGGGTTTGACACTAACGTTACTGACGGATATGTGTGGCTGTGTGAGAAGCTCAGTGACAGGCCGTTCACTTCGCAACTTGCTATCTCAATATGTTAGCTCAGGAGCTAGCTAAAGTTAGCTCACAAGTTCGTCCATATAAGCGAAACCACACCTTGTTTCTGTACAATGGTCGACTGACCCTGTGATCCGACTTGACCTTTCACCGGCCTGACGTTACCTGCGATGCTCTTGGATTATTTTGTGTGGCCTACAACAGCCTTTTGTCATCTAGCTGCTTTGACTTGTTGTCCAGACAAATAAGCATAACCGTTAGCTTTCTTTTGCTAATTAACCCAACGTAACGTTAGCACATTTGACTTAATTACTGCTTTTTAATTTGACTTTATTTTTTAAAGTCCGTTAACGGTCTCACAGCTGGTGACCACACCCACACCGCCCCGGCTGTGTTTACATATTTACAGTTGATTTCCTTAATTTCTCCTAATTATCGTGTAGTGTGTTTATCATTAGGAAACGTCGTTGTCAGTTACAGACTACTATGATCTGTGTGTAAATATTGTTCAGATGATTGTATTGTAAAATCGGCTAACCAGGCGGTAAATCATATATAATAATCGGCCGTTCATAATTCGCCTAAAATCTACCATGTGGTAGTTCTGGACTATCTCCAATGAATTTTATTTCGTATGTTCATTTATGGTGTCATTTACATAGACATGAGATTTTTTTCTCAAGACTGACGAGATAAATGTGATAAGAAGCTAAAACGATGGTGGTTAAATGCACAATACCTGTAATGATGTGTTCATTGGTGGTGATCTGATCCTGTCCTAGGTGGCCAGGTTTCTGCTGGTAGAACCTAAATACATGGCTTTTCTAAACTACTTGATATTCTTAAAGGATATAATAGTAATAATAATGACGATGATAACAATAGGGTATGTAACATTGTACAGTGATGATATTTCCTGCCCTATCATTGTTCAGGATGACCCAGTTGTCAGCATGTCACAGCAAGAAAAGCTCATATATCACATTTACCTAGGTCTAGCACCATGCCACTGCCATCTCTCTTTCATTCCTCACTGTGTGTGTTCATGTTTGTCCTCTGTGTTGGATTTGCATTCCAGCATATAACCAAACCAGCCTGGAGTTTGGCAGTATAGTTTCTGCTTGCAATTCTCCATGAGAATAAAGCCTCCAATCAGCATATAACCAAACCAGCCTGGAGTTAGACAGTGCTTGTAAATTCATGTATAAATAGGCTGGCTGTAAAACCTCCAGGGGAACATACATTTTTGTGTTCAGTTGTTCACAAATGAGCATTCACACATGTAAGGATGTAACACTGCAGCTCTGCAAGATCTCACACTGGCTGAAGGTAAAATAATCTCAGTGCAACTCTGATAGTTCATGTAGATCCAACATTAGGACAAAATAACAATTGTTCCTAATTTATTCATTTAATGTGTTTTGTTACTTAAACCACACAACTTCCATTTTAAGTTTATTTAGGTGCAGATGTCACATTTCCAGTGTGTTGTACTTTGTATGGGGCGTTATTTGCTAAATAAATATGACATTTGGAAAGAATGTTAAACCTGAAGGCCGTTAGCGTGAAGATAAACTGTGTCAGTGACACGAACATAATCATATATAAATGTTCTTTCTTTTTTCAGATGAAAGAAGCAATTATGAACCAAGAAAAACTTGCTAAATTACAGGCACAAGTCCGCATCGGCGGAAAGGTAACTGGCACATTAACAGCTTGGAATAAGCCTTGTCTTATCTGTTTCTTAGTGTTTTAAGATCCTTAAAAGGAGGTGAAAGCAGTTACTGCTTATTTTATTACACTAAAATAAAAAAGATGATTGGCAGGAGATGACTATATCGAGTTTTCTTTCACATTCCAACTAATTCTGTGAACTGTAGGCAGGAGAGGAAACTTAAATACACAGACTAAGAGCCATCAAAGTCCTGTCGCTTATGTTGGATACAGAAGATGATGCATTAATAGATCACAAAGAATCGAAGTTTACACAGAAACGTGTTCGTATGAATGTCCATGTAGGGTAGTGCCCGCAGAAAGAAGAAGGTTGTACACAGAACAGCAACTGCAGATGACAAGAAGCTCCAGTTCTCCTTAAAGAAACTCGGTGTCAACAACATCTCTGGTATAGAAGAGGTATGCATGAATGTTCTCTGTGTTGTTGCACGGGAATTGAACATGAAACTGTGTCAGCGCTGCCTGTTACTCTGTTAGCAGTCTAAGAATTTGGTCTGTTACAGGTCAACATGTTTACAAATCAAGGAACAGTCATCCACTTCAACAACCCTAAAGTGCAGGCCTCCCTCGCTGCCAACACCTTCACCATCACAGGCCACGCTGAGACCAAGCAGCTCACCGAGATGCTGCCCGGCATCCTGAACCAGCTGGGAGCCGACAGCCTGACGAGCCTCAGGAGACTCGCTGAGGCCCTGCCCAAACAAGGTCAGCACCCTGTAACTCTAAAACTTCGTTAACAGGTTGAATCAAATTCTAATGCAACGTGTATTACACACTGAGTTACAGCTGTGTTTTCTGTCAGCAAACTTGTTTAGAGAGATGAGTGTTGCCCTCTAGACTTGAACCACAGTGTTTCTGGCAGCGAGGCCATTTAAACTGCTCTTCAAGCTTCTCACACATCTTTTCTGTTATTACAGCTGCCGATGGAAAAGCGCCGATTGCAGCAGTAGAAGAAGAAGACGACGATGTTCCAGGTCAGTGGTAAACTTCTCATTTTGCATTTTTCGTGCACGATGGTCTGTTCCACCTTTCAAAATAAAAGATGACCTCAACATTTCTTAACAATCTGGTCATTTGCATCAAATTGTTTTGCAATTTTATTTGGAAATACATTTTCACACTAATCCATTATTGCAGCATTTCTTTCTCTCTTAAATAACTGTGGCAGGTTTGCTTTTCTTCTGGCTTGTGAAAGGGGTCGTTACTTTGCAGGGTTTTATGTTTGAATCTCTGGTTCACTGTTTATAAGATCTTAAGGTTCAGTTTGCTTTTCTTTGCGAGGAAAATGTGCCTAACACATAAGGTTGCCATTACAATAATCCTGTCTTTTCCCAGGATCTCTCTCTTTCTTTTAGCCCAGGTTGTCACTAACGTAACAAGTGATTACACACGTATTCAGCAATAGGAGCAGTTGGGGCCTGATGGCGCAGGGTTAACAGCCAGCGCCATCGTTTTGTTATTGGAGTTCAGTTTCCTTTTTGTTCTCCCTCTGAAGGAACATGTTTACTCAGACCTTTTGAATTGTTTCCATTTTAACCCTGAACCCTTTGAGCCAAATCTTGGAAAGGCAGATTTCTCACATTTCACAGAGTAATTGGAACCAACGTTTTCATGCTGTACGCTCTGATTTTCACAGCTGCTTTCAGTAGTGGCGATGGCCTCATATGTTGAACACATTGTAGGCCATGTAGGAGTGGGAGAGAGACAAAGAATTGGGATTGCATTACATGTGGTATCATGTTTCAGATAAACACACTTTTCCTGAGTGGTGTGTCGGCACAGATGGGCATTCTTTCTCTCCGACTCGGATAGTTTACCACCAAATCTTTTGATGTTTCAGATCTGGTGGAGAATTTTGATGAAGCATCCAAGGATGAAGCTAACTAGAGGACATGGGACACACCGGAATGCCAAAACTTGTCAGGACCATGTGGGGGGGGACTAGTTTAATGTGTTTGAGAGGTGGAAACTTAGTAATTAAAGTACTTGAGAAGATGGATAGTCACCCTTTGGCTGTGAGCAACACTAATATGTGCAACACCTGAATATATTAGTAACAGGAGTAATTTTCTAGACAAGTATTCAAAAGTATTAAAAAATCAGGGTAGGTATTGAAGCGTAAGGTATTTTAGTACTCGTTCCACCTCTTCCTTGTTTTTTGCCTCCAGACTCTCCAGTGTTTGTTGTGCCCTGTGTGTCCAGTTGTGAGAGATTCTGTGAAGATGGTGTTTAAAGCTCCTGCTGTACATGTGTTTCCTCCATGATACTGAACCTTCATTCTGTGTGGCCTCACTAAATCCACCATATCTGGAATAAACCTTTGCTACTGTCAGAACATAGTCCAAACTTCTGTTTTCATTTTCCCCAAAGTACAATTTTTACAGCTGAATCACTACTTGCCCTTCTCAACAAGCTTGAACATGAGCTCTAGGATTTGGTTTTGTATAGACCCTACCTGTATACTGAGGGCGTTCACAGGCATGTTATAATGGTGTGAATAGAGCACCATGGAAACCCAAAGTGTTAAGTATGAAATAAGTACAGCACAGAATGACTTACAAGGCTGGACATACTTCTCTTCCTCCTCGATCTGTGTATTGGAACATCTTTAATGACTGATAAATACCATGCTTTTCATAATGTTTATTGCAAGTCATTTTAAAAAATGAATTTCCGCAGCTTTTATTTGAAAATGTCTTCCTCGGTGCCCCATACCAGCGTTTTTTATAATACTGCTTTTCATCACAACACCTTTTGTCATTCAACACAAACAGGACCGAGTTGGTTCAGCGACTGGCTGCTGTTTCAGTTTTCAGAGGCTGGAAAAGTGACATTTTAAAATGCAAACTGCTGTAGTCATGTAGAAATAAAACATGAAACACACTATTACTGTGAAGAGTAGGATGAAATGTTGTTTCTTCTATTGCACTATTTCATGATTATTTGGCTAAATCTATGAATGCAGGGTTATTCAAACAAGAATGAACCGCTTTCATTAGGCAATATTTTATTAAGGAAAAGTAATACAAAACTCCAGCCAAGTCACAAGTATTCTACTCACAGTCAATTTTTATTTCCTGTCTTAATAAAAGTGTTCAATGTGGCCACCACCTGCAGCACGGGCAACATCAATACGATACGAGAATTCCTTTCAGGCGCGTATTGGCATATCACGATCCACTGAGTTGATCGCTGTTGTTATTCGATGTTTAAGGTCATCGAGGTTAGTGCCTTAGGCAGCTTAGATAACTTCTCTTTCAAATGGTCACTGACTCATTCCATGACGATGCTTGAGAACTGAAGCAATGCGTAATGAAATCGGTTCATTCTTTTTGAATAACCCTGTATTTCTTAGTCTTAACACCTTTGTTTTTCCATTAAGTTCTTCAGTGATCAGTGAGACAAACTATTCTCCTTTGCTGTGTAAGAAGGTTCTCAGCTCACTGTGTGAACCTCTAGTTTTACATGCAGTGATACAGACTGGTCTCCTGCCCTACAGCACCCTAAAAGCTGCTAAATAGGTGTTTATTCTCCCCACGACTGTGACTCTGTTGTATGCAGTTTAAAAAGATCTTTTAATTAAATAGCGGCTTCGTTTCAGTGACCATAAACAATGGTTTGACCTTTAAATATCTGTACAGAATGATGAGGGATACTGAGGTCAATACAGGTTATTTCATGATACACTGCTTATTCGGACATATACAACACAAGCGTTGCCGTACAGTGGCAAACAGCACCACAATGATTTTGTGGGACATTTAGATGACGTGTGAGGTCTTTTAAAAGCAACAACACATCTGGACTATAACATACATCACTATACAGAGAAACAAAATGGTTACATCAGTATGAACATTATCACATTACAAAACACTTGTCTAAATAATTCAAATAAATAAACAGTACAACCAACATAAAGCTCTTCATTCAAACAACAGCACACAGTCTGTACCAACAGATGTTTAATCTACCCACCGTCATCTTCTTCAGAGGAGTAAAATGAGCCTCAGAAATGTGCTCTCTATGAAGCTCAGACAGTATGACGATGAAGCAATTCATTGTCTTTCATTAAAATTATTTTGCTCTTAAAAACGGATTAAGTCATTTTAAAAAAACACACAATGACGGGAAAAGAGTAACAGTTCATGGTTGGTATGTAATCTGAAAAACGGTAGAGTTGAAACAAGATTTCCTTGTTAAAGCAATAATCAAGCCTGCACTGCACATTTGGCGGTATATTACGGGTGGAGTGCAGTGCACGCTGAGCTGAGCTTTATCAATTTGCTCCTTCTGACTTGCAGTCTGTCAGTGTTATCTTGACAGACTTGACAGACAGAAAGAAAAATTCTTATGGTACAAACCTTCAGAAAATGTTGATATGCACTGAGGATGTTATGATGCTGAATTATCACTCACTGGAACAAAATCTTCCTGTGGCCGAACAGCCGGGCCGTGCTACATGACCGTCCAGAACGCAGCAGTGTCTCCAGTGGGAAGTGCCACAGTTTATTCTCTAATTCCCATCAGTAACTTCAACAAGTGTGCTTCCATTACCTGTTGAACTAGACAGATAAACACACAGCTGTGTCATTTAACAGTGAAGTCTTATCAGAATATTTCCATGGTAACCGTCTTTCACTCCCAGAGGGGAAATTGTCAAGTATGACAAACTCTGAACTCAGTGTGTGTACAAGAAATCTTAAAGAATCATGGCAAATATTCTTCAAATGTATTTTTATTTTCTTCTTGTGAAATGTTTTTGGAAGCTTTTAATGAAAAATGTAAGTATATCTGTATTAGTTTGTTTCTAAGGATCAAGAAACGGTTTCATAACGCAATTTAAAGAACACAAATTTAGGAGAAGTTCATTTTCATTTAAGTAGGAAACCATCCATTTCTTGCCAGTGGGTACCTACAAGTTGTTTAGCCCTAAATGTAGACTCAGCCTGTGTGTTTCTCTTCCACGTACCATTCCGATGGCCCATAGCCACAGCCATGTCCATTGCATTGAATCCAGAATCCGACTCCATGGTTGGATCAGCACCGCTCTCTGGAACACACACAAAAAGACCTAACACTTTGTATGCTAACACTTCCTGGACACACAAGCATTACCATATCTGACCACAGGTGTGTGACTGTCAGTAAAAGCCTTGTCCTCACCTAGCAAGATTTCGACACAGCGCACATGGTTCCCGTGGACAGCGTACAGTAGAGGGGCTCCTCCGTTCTGAAACCCAAATGCAACATCACAACAAACTGCACAGAATGAAGCCTACACAGGACTTCAGCTCATAACACCAAATATCTCCCTCATATCACTTTTTAGTCATGTTGTATTTAACCAGATGAGTGAAATGAAAGCTTACTATTCTTACCCAGTCGTATTCATTGACATCAACACCACAGTCGATAAGCATCTTCACAATATCAGTGTATCCCTTACTGCAGGCTAAGGACAAAGCGCTTTCCCTCCCTTTGGCCAGGAGGTTGGGGTCAGCACCCTACAGTTAGTAAATACATTAGGGCATGCTCTAATATATTAAAACTATGAGATCTGAAAAATACAGGAACTTAATATTTCCATACATTTTGGAGCAAGAACTCGACAACGGCAATTTGTCCATGTGCAGCTGCCCACATCAGGGGGGTGAAGCCTTCCTCATCTTGGAGATTGATCACAGTCTCTGTTAAAATGATTTATAAACTATGATCAGCATCCATCATCTGCACCCAATGAAGCTCCTATTTCTTTAAATGTTTATTACTCTTGAAAATATTTTATATAGGTGATAGAAAAAGCAAACATGCCAAACTGGTCCCTCTTTTTTAAAATACGAGAATATGCTGCTTTTTCTTGTCTTATATGATACTAAACTATATTTTTGGGTCCAGGATGGTTGGTCTAATGGCAAAAGACATCTGAAGAGGTTACCAAATTACAGCAACTGTTCTAACATTTTAGGCTGTAAATGATTAATCGGTTAATCAAAATGTGGCAGAAAAATCATGATTAAAATATAGTAACTGTTAGTTACAGCCCTAAACACTTGTGGTCAGATCATTTATCCACAAAATGACTATCAAGTACTTCACTGCCTGGATGGGCTGCCTACCTTGTTCAATCCTGCTGGCCAGAAATACCATTTCTCCTTGGGCCGCTAGCTGATGAATGGACAGCGCTGAAAGGAAAAACATGGATCTGTAGTATTAACTACCATCTCAACAACACTTAAAACATTCATTTACAATTGACTATAATACTTACAATGCACCAAAAGAGGTGTAGAAGAAACCTCGTTGCCACGGTGTTTGTTGGTGAGTGTGGTGGACTGTTTGATGGGGGAGAAATGTTTGGTGGTGGATGGTGTGTATACATGACGCACTTGTATTCCCGGGGAGGGTGAGGTCTGGATATTGCACTCAGCTAAAAAGTGGGACAACAATTGTGGCAGCGGGTTCTTATTAGTTACAGCCTTGTACAGACATGATCACAAATTAACATGTACAGTAAGTGTCAAGTTACTGTATGTTACTTTCTCACCTTTGAATAGAACAGAAGCCACCTCCAGATCAGAGTTCACCTGGTCCTGGATGTTCTTGCTGTCCTCTTCATTGAGCGATTTGACAAATCTTGAGCATACATTCATGTCAAAGCGGTTGGGCAGGATGAACTTGATGCCCATGGCCACATTTTGGGTGCCTGTATCATCTGGGCTTCCACCTACCGACTGCTCAGTCTTGATGGCATTTAAATCGGGCATTACACAGATCCCCTCCATGTCCTCAGAAACCAGAGGACACTCTCCTGTCCCATCTGAAGCTGACATGGTTACGCTGTCCATCTTTCATCACTCACTGTGCTGTCGCTGAGATTCAGCTGTAGCCACTGCACCTCTGAAATGCACATTTAGAAATACAAATCGATATCATTTACTTACGTTTTGTTTACCTGTGAATGTGTATTAACTAGACACACACCAGGCTAAATATATCATCATATATACATCATCACTGCCTGTTAACGTCAGCTATCGTTTAGCATGCTAAGCAAACTATTCTTATCGTAACCCTCCGTTAGTCACACTAACGTTAAATGACTGGATAATATATTACTGGGTCATATATTAAGCGATAACAAAGGCCATTTCCCTAAAAGAAACACATTCCTTACTCGATAAGCCATCGTTTCTTTTTAATATCGTCTTGCAATTGCCTCTTTATTTTCGTGTTTTGATAGAACGGCGCCTGCGCAGTTTGTCGGCTCCACATGTAGGTGCATCCACGATTAACTTCCCCCGTTTTACTTTTCATTTCCGGATTCGCATCTTGCGGATCCTAGAGACAGATGGAGACTAATTGTTTAGTTATCTGTGACGAAATATCTTATATACCAGTGAAGAAATACTTTATATATCCACTTGAATAATGTACAATGTTGATGGCATTGTAGGTACATAGCAAAGTTGCATATAGCTAACAAAAATGTGGAATGAGACAAGTTAAACAGACACAAATGGAAAGGAACATATAAAGAAATTAAAGGTCTAATCAGAAATAATTAGGAAATTTCAGAAAATAAATTGCAAAAAGCTATTGTCATATCATTAAATGACTTCACTACAGGCCCTGATCCAACATTTTCTGGCAGACTTTACATTGCAATTATTGTTAATTTAGCTAAAGGTTTTGTGTAAGCCATTAGTGATTGTGTGCCCACCTGGTTGTTGAGATCACTAATGGCTGAATAATAATCAAATAATGACACCTTATCCTCAACAAGGGGCTTACACAAGAAAAGTTCAACAAAGCAGAAAGATTTTTGACTTTATTATTTTGGATCAGTTTACCACCTTTAATGAAGGGGAGCTACAGATTTGTTTCAGTGGTGGTTATTATCTTTACTGCATGGTCAAAGTTACAACATACTAATCAGATCTAGAGGTTACCACAAATATTTTTCCAGAATCTGTCTGTAAATCCCTTCACCGAGAGACATAGCACCAGTCTGCTTTTTTTTACTGATCTAAATTTAGATTTATGGGAGGAATGTTTTGCCATGCTTTAATTATCATTAAACAAAAGTCAAAAAAATGAATTCTCTTTTGTTTCACCAGTTTTGCAAGTTATTTAAGTTTTTTGTTTTGATGTGACTAAGAACTCAGCAGCTGCACAATAGAGATTTGCTAATGGTATGATTAGACTGTTATCAAGACCCTAGAGTATTTATCCTATTCATTAGACTACTGCTAAATAAAATGTGGTATGTATGCCATCTGTCACGTGCAAGGCTTTATTTCACTGATATTTACAGTAGAATAGCAGTGTTATGTGTTACAGTGCATGTGGTAAAACAAATCATCATGAGAAATTAACATGAAATTGGGCATTTTGCCAGGAGACAAAGCAAAGGAAAGACAACATTTTAAAACCTTGCCTTGACTGATGGGTTATTTTTGCAAAACCCAGTCTCAATCTAAGGGCTGATGTGAGAGGTCAAGAGGAGTGTTGTGAGGGTGACCACACACACAGCTATGGATATTATTCTTGGGCTGTGCATGGAATCAGACAGGCTGACTGAGACAGTTTGATGGCAGCTGTGCTGGAATACAGACCCATCTGTTTTCTGGGCAAGCGTGTTTTGCATTTTCGTTATATCTCCCATGCTAGTGGTTTTGTTTCCTGCTAATCGATGCTCCATCACACCACTCAGCACCACAAAAAAAACAAGAACGTTTGTCCTGAGGCCTCTTTGTGTGTAAATGTTTTTTTCTTCTCTACTTATTTGTTTGTTTGGTTTTCTAACAAGGAGGTCAAGGGTCATAGCTCATTCATGTCACTCTGATGACACCAGGGAGTCTTGGGAATAAAATGCTTCAGGGTCAGTTGCATTGAGGAACTTGCCTCTTTCTGCCAGATAAAGATCACACGCAGCTTTGGTCTCAGTCTGGACTGCCTTGTTTTGATAGCATGTGAGGCTCAGTGTATGCGTTGAGTTCCACAGTGTGCTGCTCCCGCCATCTACAGGACACATGGATCATATTCTTCAATGTGACAAGATGAGCAGGAAATACATTAGATTATATATTAAATCTTAATTTGCGTGGGCATCAATCTATGGTTCATTTTGCTTTTTTTTTTTTTTTTACAGACTAGTGTGTAGTTTAAGATGATGTATGCGAAATGTTATCCGGAAAACGTCCACAAGATGGCGCTAACTTCTACACCGTCTTTTCAATATTACCAACAGAGGGCACCATAGTCTCTGGTTATAAATTAGAGTCCAGGATAACATTGTCTGTGGTAAACAGTAGAATGGACTCAGACTGCAGACTGTGTTAAAAGTAAGATAGCATTATTGTAGCCCGTCAGTTCTCACGCCATTCAGACTATTAATCTGCTGCTCATTATCAGTCAGTGGGATAAATCTTCCACTTGGCTCCTGTTAATGTCACATGTCTGTGTGTGAATATGGTTATGATCCAACTGAAACATGAAAGATTTTTATCCAACAGAAGAACATTCAACCATTGTATATATTACAAAAAAGAGCGATAAGAATTGTGCATAAGATGGGGTACAGGGATCACACCATTGGAGCTTTCATACAGTCTAAAATGTTAACATTTTTTGATTTAGTGGGATATAAGACTGCTGTGTTTATGTATAAAGCCAGGAACAATTTATTACCTGGTGGAATTCAAAAACTATTTAATGAAAGGGAAGGGGGATACAATTTAAGGGGTCAGTTAAATTTAAAAATTCATGCTATATGTACAACCAAAAAAAGATTCTGTATTTCTATAAGTGGAGTAAAACTATGGAATAATTTAAGTATGGACATATTGACGTATTAATGAGAAATTCAGTATTTTATGTTGCAGATGGATCTAATTTTAACTACGTTATATAGCCTACTTTTAAACCCATAAAAATGCCTTGCATAATATTTGTTGATCACATGTTTTGCTGCAGAACTGCAAAGGCAGTTATTAAGGAGCAAAATAAAAGTAGTGAAGTGAAAAAGCACAGTAGCTCCCCCCCTAAAATGTGGTGGAGTTGAGAAGAAGAGAAATAAGTATCGCATGAGAATATCCAGATAAAGTACCAGTAGGCCTTAGCTCAAGGCTGTTTCCACCCCTGGAAAAAAGAACGAGCAGACCTATGACCTATTACCGTCGAGTAACCGTAGAGTATAACGAGCAGAACTCTCACAGGTAAAAATGGCATCACTCGAACTCGATTCTGATTGGAGGAACCCAACATTACACCAGACCTGTGTTGCCAGAAACGCGCTTCCCTACAGCTCTCTTTAACATAGCCCATGGGCATATGTAAAGCATTACATGCCACTATAGACTCACTATAAACAAGGTGCCCGAGTTTATGGCGTAATATATTCGAGTTTTCCTGCACGCTTCCCTTCTAGCCATTCAGCCGCGGTGCGTGAGGGGGCTGGACCTGAGGAGAAGACTGCAGAGATGAGAAGCAACTCCCGCGACACCTGCAACAAACTCCCAACCGACTCTATGCTGGAGTGAAGCCAAGACTAACAGCAATGCGGAATAATCATGTGAAAAGTGAGACGAGTTATTAAACTGAGGCGAGAGCAACAGATAAAGTTTTTCAAGAAGGAAGGTGCGTGAGATCTGGGTTTAGGACGACCGGGAGCGAGTGCGCGGAGCGCAGAGGGAGACGGCGGCAGGTAATGGGAAGCTGAGAACTGGAAAACTTCTGCTTACAATCTACTGTGGTGAAAGCTCAGAGGAAACAGCACTGTACAGTAAGACTATCGTGATAATGTTTGTCTTAACCGTTAATGTCGTTTCATCGATTTATAGATGTTCAAAACGCTGATGCGTTCACGGGTAACGTTAAAATCATGGCTCGTATTTTTTGTCTTAAATACCCGACTCAGTGCTGTTAGTCTAAACCTTTTCATAAGCTCTACCACAGTTTAGGGCTTTTTTTCTTTTGCTCTGATTCATTCACTGACCGTATTTCACCGCTTTATACAGGGGTTTCACTTCCTGGTGAAAGTCTAGGCATTATTGTTCCTGAAGGATATGCATGAGTGTTGCTGTTAATGTGCACTGTCATAAGCAGTTTCCCCTTCTTTGTGTGGTAGTTTATCCACCGGTCTATCCAGTGGCATGTCATTTTTGGTTAGCAGATCTTAGTAAAATGTTAGAAACTATAGCACCACTGTTAAACATGTCCTTATTTCAAAGGTAGCCTCATATGTGGCCATTCATCTTTGTGTGTGAAAAGAGGTTTTCACACCTCTCATGCCAGTGACTCATTGACCTGAGTCCAAAATGTATCTCTATGTACCAAATATGAATGTGTAGCAAATTAAAATGTAATTACCAAAAGCTGAAACACAGCTTTACAACTTCAATTGTTCAATCATGAAAAAGCCAACAGGATCAACTTACTCAGAAAATTTGCACTACATGTATAGATCTTAGAATGAATTTCCCTTTTTTTATTCTTGTTATGTGTAATCTCGTTTCCCACACTCTGTGGTGGAGTGTGTGACCACTAGCTCAGGTTTCTTACTCACACTGAACATGTCAGAGGCTAAAGAGGGGCTGAGGACAATGACTAAAAATTTACTGTTAGATGGTAAATTTTTAACTCAAGAGGCTCAAATAGATCTTGATCCTGTTTTTGTGTGGATTCAGGTTGTCTTTAAACCTTACATAAATAAAGGTTTAGCAGAATATTATTTTGTTGACTTAATGGGGTGCAACCTGTCAACCCAGGACAATGCTTATTCTACAATATGACACATAAACCTTCTTTAGTTCCACATTACAATAGTGTAACCCCATTGATAGGAGTAGAATTAAACACAGAGATAGACGCCCAGGCCTGTGGCAGTGCACTCTTCTACTGATAAGATGTCCTTTGGACAAAATATTGTAGTACACAAACATGAAAGTGATATTATTGTTAGATTAACCCTAAGGGCATCAGTCAGTGTGTTACAGTTTAATCTGACTGGATCTGCCGTTAAGACTGGATCCTGTTCTGGTTGTTAGTCTACTGTGTCACATGCTTGTTTTTGTAAGACCCTTTAAGATTTAACACTGGGTTTACCTGTGATTCAGAGGATGGTGCCTCCTACCATTAGAATTTCGATTCATTCTTTGCCTGTAATATAAAGTTTGTACAATAAGTGTCGAGATAAAAACTGTGGTTGATTTATTGTTGGAATATTGGGTTATACTGACATTTGGACTAAAGCTGAAAGCAGATAAATCAATGTATTCTTTGACAGAAATGGAATCTCTTTTGATATTTAGCCATTTTTCAAGGAGAAATTTCAAACACTCAAATTTCATCTTCTCAAGTGTTAGGATTTTCTGCTCTGTTTAAAAAATGTAACTGGAATGTTTTTGAGTTTTGGATTGGTCAAACAAAAACAAGACATTTCAAGACCATTGCCCAGGGCTCTAAGACTGATGGGTGTTTTCCACTTCTTATCTGATGTTTAATAAACCAAATGGGTAACTTGATTAATTGTGTTTGGATTCACTGACAGTGAAAGCTATAGTTGATTGTAGCTACTGTAGACAGTTACTCCCCCCTTGTGCACTAGATGCAAAAACAAACCCATAACAAACTGTTCAGGCTTGTTGGAGTGGTACCAGCTCACACAAATGAGTGTCTAGACAAAGTGCAGCCTGCAGAGCTGCTGAGCAGCTTTGAAGTCATGCACTATTCACAGCTGAGAGTGAAGTCACAGAGGATCAGGTGTGTGCAGATGATACAGTTACTCAAGTCTGACACTGAAGCTACTGCAGCTGTTACAGCTTCATCCATACTAATGGTTGATCTTGATAAAGGCTGTAAGCGGAGCGCCATGGGTATAGAAGTGTATGCATCTCACATCTTTCACTGGAAACCTCCTCAGGTGATGTTGTATTTACTGTCATTATTAGTATTATTATCACCTGAACGTATCGGTTTACTGGCCGCAGCATATGGTCTTCCTCTTGTTTCTGGCTATGAAGGCAACACATTTTCACAATTTTTGACCAGTTTTAAACAATATAAATGAAATTGAGGTGAGGAATGACTGCATGGTTAAACATCACTGTGCTGTTATTTAGTTATAGATTAGAGAGAACCTTGGACAAAAACAGATCAAGGTGGGAAAGTTCTGGTTGAAGTTCCAGAAAGTTAGTGTCCTGACATTATAGTAACATGAGTATTTCCTCTGCAGGCATCTGGTGAATGTGAAGAAAATGGAGGTGAACAGAAAAGAGGTGCCTCAGTATGTGAGTACCTACAGTATGTTTTGCTCCATCCTCTGATTTGTTGATGTGTTGGTGATCTAACAGGGGCCTGTTTGGGTGTGTGGGGGAGTAATTTGGTGATTACATGAACTTTGAATGATCCCCTGGTCCAGTCTGTCACAGTTAGACCCGGTTCTTTCCTCCTAGCCGTCCCTTTCCTCTCTCAGTCCTTACTTTCCTTCTGTGCGGTGGCTGACTGGCAAGCCTTGTGTTGCAGGTGAAACCCAAACCAGAAAGGTTTTGGTCCCTGGGGAAGCCAGTCCTTACACAGCCTGTTCACTAAATGACAAGGGCCTCTGAAAGGAAAGCTTCCACAGTGAAAAAGAATAATATACTCATTTGGTTCTTGGCTTTTTACTGTAAGGAGTATCCACACCCCCCTTTATGAATTTTAAATAAATAAACATTTTTCTTTTGGAAAGCATATTGGAGTGCAGGGTGTGCATGTAAGTTTGAGGTTTTGCTTCAAAACTCAGTAGAACTTAGTTACTGCCTGCTTATTTCTTCCATCTGTCTTCCTTTACCCCCTCAATCCTCCATATCCGCCATCTCTCTTTCTCTCTTGTTCTGTTTCTCTCTCACTCCTCCTCCCCTGCTTGTGTGGAAGCCTGGGTGGGCCAGTCACTGAAGCATTGCCAGATTTCTGGTAGGCAGAGCATCTGCATGTTATGCTGTGTCACCAGTTTTAAAAGGGAGTGGGGGGCTTGCTCCAAAAACCTTTGCCACCGCTCGCTCATAGAGGCTGATTGAGGACTGGTCTGGAAACTTTGGCATGTGAATCATTATGAGCTCCACTGTTTACACATACACCTTTCTGTTAAGAGGAAGTGCTGTCTCCACCCTCTAAGGTCACAGCTCAACAGGAGCAACTCTCACAGCTGAATGAGATCCAGATTTCAATGCCGCACTTTGTGCAGGCAAGCCGGGGCACACTGCTGTGATATAAAGGCTGTTCATACATACAACATAATGTGAGGCCCATGGGAGATACTATTAAACCAGGTCAATGGATAAATGGCTGCACTGAATTGCAGGCAACATGAGTGGGAGCTCCTGTGTTTAGGGGGTTTTATTGCGCTCGAGTGCAGGACTTGATGTCAAAGTCGTTTGTTCTCAGGGGTGTACAGTAATGTGTGCTCATGTACATGTAGGTGAACTAACAAATCTGCTGTGAATATACAACATTTTGTACAGACATTTGTGGTTCCTGGAAGATGAAATCTAATGAGTTTGTTTTCCTCGAGCATCACCAGTAGGTCAAAACGTTCACTTATTCAGTGAAATATCTCCACATCTACTGGATAGATTGACACAAAATTTGGCACACATTCATTGTTCCCAAGATGACACATCCTGATGACTTTGGTAACCTAATGACCTTTTAATTACTGCAGCAGTTTGACATTTTGAGATTAATTGGCAGCTTTGCCTTTATTTGTTTGCCAACAGTTTAGGCGTTGTCGTGAAATAAGCCAGGTGTGACAGTCAGTCGGGCGTTGGTCGGATTCAACTTGTGAGTGTTGCGGTTGTGCCTTACCCAGGTATCAAGATGCCCCAGGTTGATATTATTGATTCAGAGTTAAAGACCTTGAGAGCTGTCTGTTTGCTATGAAAGGTGGTAAAGTCATGTTGCTTTATAGGTTTAATTATAATAACTTCAGTAATCACTTATGGTTTGTGTCGAAAGCGAAACTGATGACATTTCCCTCAGTATCTTTGTGTTTAGTGCTAATTAGCAAGCATTAGCATGCTAACATACTAAATTAACATCTGAACTTAGGAGACATTGCACCTGCTACACATGCTGCCACTGTTATTGTGAGATGTTAGCATGTTGTTAGCATTTTGCTTAAGGTGCCACTGTTATTAGACACATAGCCACTAGCATGGCTGTAGACCCTTTGTCTTTTTTTCCTTATAGCAGTATGACTTCATGCTAACAAATGGAAATACAGTAGATTAACTATATCCGGTATGATGTTTGCTTAGTTGCCAGTATGGTTTGATGGTGATATTTAACTTTGTATAATGTGTTTTTCAATTTTACCTGTAAGTGCTGTGGTCATTGTGTTTGCTATGCTTTTCACATCGAACCACTGGAAACCTGCACACTATGATTTATTGATAAGCCACTCAATCATAAAAAGAAGAAAAAGACAAAATAGTCACATGCTCTTATTACAGCAGCGTTCTCATATGTTGTAGAGCTAAATATCATAAATAATTATTCATTTCAGTAGGTATTTATCATACACAAAACCCAGGACCTTGTTGGTGTTATTATGTAACAGCGAGTCTATTCTTGGCAGTCTTGTCATTTGAAATGTAATGTTTGTGGCACCATGCCTGTTGACTGCCAGCCTTTTCTGACATGTACTACTAAGTATCTCATTTGCACGGCAGGTTAAATCAGAGTTATCTCACCCGCGCATGAGAAAATGCCTGTGATACAATGCTAGCTGTCACCATCAAAATGCCAGTGAGATTCCGGTCCACTGAGTTTCGTTTTCTCAGTTGTGAGCAGCTGACATGTCACTGTAGTATTATGTAACTTAGAAAAATGTCAAATATTTTACTTTGAAACATACAAAATGCATGCACTTCTGAGTTGTACAAAGGCTTTTCTTGATGTCTTATCTTGTTTGAATATTTATGAAATGGACTGAGCATGTGGAAATGAATGGTCCAAGCATGTGTGCATTTATGGTCAAAGCCAAAGCATTAACTTAAGACTGATTTACACTGACTGTAGAAGTCCTTGTTTTGTCATTTTCTCTGAGGTTTTAAAAATGATTCATTGTTCAGTAGAACAAACAAAATGTAACTTGTGTTGGTTTCTTAGCTGAGCTACTATACTGTGAAAATGGTTAATGTTTCGAGCACCCTGCTGGTGTGAGAGTGTTTTCTCGCTAAGACAGGCAACTGTTACTGGAGCTGTTTTTGTTGTTGTAGTGTCAGTGATCCTGCTCCCCTGACATCACACGTGCGTTGCACTCAGGAGATCATGGCCAAGAGCTCTAGAGCTGATGACTGCTGGTTTCCTGGAGACCGCAGGCGGCAGATCTGATGTTGTTTTTCCCCACTGATTGGACAACAGTGTGGATATTCTACAATCCTGTCCGTGCTGTCTCATTGGATTGGTGTTTAAATGAAAGTAAATATTGAACAACCTGTCAGTTATTATGCCATATTTAGCTATTGCTATAGCACTATTCCCTTTTACAGACTGCTATCAGACTGCTTTTAAATGTGACAAACTTTCTCATGTTTATGTTCCATAATTAACACATTATGTCTGACCTGAAAGCTGCCCATATAGGAGGCATGAGGTAAAACAACAAGGTGTTGAATATTTTATTGTTACTGGATCAGGTTCTGTCATGATAACAGCTCAGAGAAAAGGTCATAGATTACATCAGTATGACATCTTGTCATCACCCAGATATCCTCCTTCTTCTTCCTCAAAGCACAGGAGATACAGTTAGGATAACACATATTCTGTCTATTAGATTGTACCTGTGTAAGGCAATATTATCTGAGGCTGTTGCAGATTGTTTGGGGCAATTAAGTTAACTACAGCCTATTTGGAGCAGTGAAAACAAAATCAAAAAGTATTGAAAAGAAATGTTCACATGTGTTCTTTTGACATTTATCGACATTCTAATTGAATAGCTGGAGGACAGTCCTACAAAAATAAAACACAGCTCCTTGATATGATTTATCAAAATATCACTTGTCATGTGACAGAACATAGACAAAAATCTTGTGAGAATGGAGATAATCTAGGCAAAAATTAAAGCAAAAACAGTGTAGAGGAAAGTTCCCCCACTGCAAAAGATAAACAAAGAAATTATGTAGAATTTTAATAAAGGTAATGAAATTTTACTACATTTGAACTTGAGGGTTACTGCCCTGTTTCTAGCATTGTAAGAAACCAGGAAGGCTACACAAACCATTTTTCATTTTTGTTTTGTAAAGAAACAATCAGCGATAACATTAAAAGTGGTAAGTGCACACAAAGTGGTGCTGCAGCTAACCACTTAGTGTGCACAACAAGCTGAGACAAGGCAGCTTGAGTCAGACCTCTGTTATCAGTGTAAAGCAATAGCCTGCTGAAACAGAGTCAGATGCATTTCTATCTTTGAACATTATTGACTAGACTTTTATAAACTATGATAGTTTAGGGGCAAAGTAAATGGAAACTGATACCAGCTTGAAGGCTTAGTTCAAACAGTCAACTTTATGCTACCAGTGTTTGGTTAGCCAGGGGCAAGGTCTTTCCTGTTGGAGTAGTGTGGGGAAGCACCATCTTTGCTTGTGGCAGCTTGCAGTTTCACCATAAGCCAGTTTAGAATTAACCTAATGCCATAGCTAGCAGCTAGGATAGGAGCTAAGATGACATTCCCAGTTATTTAGTACAAATATGCAAATGAGGCATGATCACAGTAAATCATATGGTGAACATGGTAAACACTATGCCTGATAAACATCTGCTAGTAAGCATTTATAATGTGTGCATGTTAGCATAGGGTGCATAGGGTTAACATTTAGGTCAAAGTACTGTTGTGCCTAAATAGAACCTCACTGAGCCACTAGCATTGATAAATAGAACCGCACTGAGCCACTAGCATCGATAAATAGAACCTCACTCCACTAGCATCGATAAATAGAACCTCACTGAGCCACTAGCATCGATAAATAGAACCTCACTGAGCCACCAGCATCGATAAATAGAACCTCACTGAGCCACTAGCATCGATCTGGACTCTTTTTGAAGATAACATATTTAATCCATATGCAGTCCAAACTGAAACAGAGACCTCTGTGTGCTTCAGTCCCTTGTATTTAGCTCCTTTCTTGCCTAATTGTTGCAGGAATTAAGACTCAGGGCGACAGACATCAATTCATGGAAAAGCCACAAGTATCTTACCTAAAATTATATTTAAACCTTAGCCTAAAGTATTAATAATAGGGATACATTAAGGATGGGCCATAAAACCCCAAGCCGAACACAAGAAAACAAAGGATAAGGATATTGCACAAGCATGGAACATCAAGTTTGTAATCCCTCTTGAGTTTGAAAGATAACACCCTCTTGTAAAGGTCAGTCTCTGGGGTAAAATAATACGTAAGAGGTGAGCTAAGCCTCCAGTGTTTGGTAATCAATGTTAATGCTGAAAATAATGAAACATTCACTTTGTTTTGTTAGTGAATAAGAGGCACTACATTTCAGCATGTTGTATTGGTAACTGAAATGATTTGACCACCCTGCATCTGTGGTTATATGCAGCAGAAACAAATAACAAACGAGGTCAATGATGCAAGAGTTATAATGCACCTCAGTGTGAAGGTGGATTATGGAGTAGACACTCAGCAGTAGACACTCCTTTTCATACTGACTCACTTTTCCTCCTTTCATCCAGTACACTGTGTACAGTGAACAGGATGAATAGAAGGTGTCAACAGTATAATCCAACAAGACCTTTCCTTATAAAGAAAGCTGTGTAGTCCCCCTTAAATTGGAGCCATTACAATGTGATAATCCAGTGTCTTGTGATATTGTTTTTACACTGATAGTGAATAATGAAAAATGCCTCCACTTTGTTATGAATTATATACTTTGGCTTTGTCATAAATGACACTAAATGGGTGGATTTTATTCTTCTCATCTCAGGGACAGGTGGAGGCCCATGTGAGTCTAGAAGCCAGCGCTCCTGAAGATGCAGAGTTTTACATTGTTGTGCAAGGCTCTAGGCTTACACATGTGACTGCAGCGCGACGAGGAAATAATGGGCTGACCCTTCACTTCACAGTTCCCGGTAGGTCCTTCAGTCAACTTAACAACACTCAGGTCTGTCCCTTTGCCTGCCATTGCCTGACTAGCTCCTAAGATTTCTTATGGTTTTCTCCTACAGGACATGACCTTGCAGAAGTTGTCTCTGTCACATCCTACTTTTACTCAGAGGGCCAAGTCAGGCGATGTGAAGGTGAAGCATCTCTTGAATACCTTAGGGATATAGTGCAGGAAGTAGCAGAGTACCTGAGTACGCACAGGGACCAGCTTGAGCCCCAGAGCTACCTAGACATCCTGAAGAGGTTGCCCATGGGGGCACTGGAAGCCGACGAAGACCACTCTGCTGGACAGTTAGACCGCAACGAGGAGAATGAGTGCCTTAGACAAAGTTCAGGTGGTGAAGCTGGTCTCAGGCAGCTGGATGAGAAGATCACACAGGCTTTGGCGAACATGGATTATCCTCAGCAGTGGAAAAACACTGACAGTCAGCCAAGAGAAGGTAATTAAATAGGAAGTGAGAGTGTACAGTACAGAAAGTCACAAGCTGCAGTTGTGTAGATTTCTATTTGCCAGAGCTAATTTTGTAGACACAACAGTGTGTGCCTCTCATTGATGCCTCATTGCAAACATAGGTCTTCATATTGTGCTGTACAGATCATTTAACCTTCAAAAATGAAACCAGGCCTCATCAAACAAAGCACATTCACAGGCCTTTGTCTGTTTGGATTTCATTTCAATGTCCCAACTCTTGTGTTTTGTGTTACTTCCTGGATCATCCACAGAAGTCAAATGTCAGGGATTCTCCTCATCTCACCAAGTATCAGGAAACCTTTTGGATGAGTTGCAAAAAGTCGGCAACTCTTCAACTTTCCAGGATTTTTTTGTGTGTCTGTTGTTGCTGTTCTGTACAACCTAAAGGGCTGGTACGCCCAGAAGGAAAATAACAGTGACAGAAAAAAACATATTGCTTAACTCAAACAGTGTCTAGCCACTAGTCTTGCTGATAATTAGCCAGGTTTTAAGATATCTGTGCTGCTTTCAGCAGTACTTTTTCTCAACTAGATAGTGATTTACTGATCAAACTGAAGTGTGGATAATCCAGAGTAACAGGGGTACTGTTTCTTGATTAATATATGTATGTTAACTTTATAATTTTGCTCAGATGTCTTATAATCAAATGTTTTAATAACACATTTGCAATTCGTGTCTATTTCCCTGGGTTATGTTAGTGGAAACTTAACCAGATGAGCTACAGAACTACTTTTTTATAGCAACTGAAATATTCAATTATAATCCGTGTTAGCATGTTATTTTAAACCGCTGTCAGTGACATCATCAGTTTAAAAAATGTAGGCGGGTAGTATATACATCAATGTGTAGTATGTAAAGTTGTCTTGCTATGTAAAATAATGTAGGAGAGTAGTAAAATGCAAATGGAAGTTCCTTTGTGGTCCATGAGAAATACTGTACAGTTCAATATGCCTGATAAAAGTAACTGTAAAGTTGAAAGATCACTATACAGTTCCATTTTACTGTTTAGATCAAACCTGGGCAAATTAGAACCAAAGACATTTTCATAACTTCATAGTTGCTAGAGTTAGGTTTGATGAAAAGACCCATTAACATAGGAGCGTATGAGTCCTTCAAGTTACTGTCATTACTGTGGTGTTCTGGTGTTCTCTAGGTTTCAGAGCCAAGATGAGCTCTGCCTGTTACAGCCTAACTATTTCATGACATGTTGTGCAGGAGCAGCCAGCCAGCCAGCTGCGTGGGGGCGGGTGGTGTGCTCCAAAGACAGAGCAATTACTGCCATTATTCCTCCTTAGTCAAATTAGAGTTGTCCTGCAAACCTCCGTGTCTGTCAGATCACCCTCCTCTGTGCCGCACTCCTATTCCTTTACACCACAGCGGTGTCAGAGTTGTTTCTGCATCTGGCCTCAGATTTGCTTCATTAATTTAAAGCAGTGAGGTCTCGTTGTTAAGAAGTGACAGTGAAATATTGACAGTATGCTAAGGTATTACTATATATTTAGCATAGAGAGATCAGGTTTTCTGCAGAGCTCATATGATTGGTACATATGCAGTAGTTCAGTTCCAGACTGTTTTGTGTTTTCTGCATGAGCAGAAAAAGGAAATGAGACCAGAAACACACTGGGGCCCACAACAAATGCTCTCTACTGCAGTCTTAAAATACTATTTTCATGACAGTAAAATAACTAGCACAAGCAGTACTCAAACAGTTTGGTATGTTCCTGACCTTGAAATTCACTTTGCCTATTTGTGTGGTATCTTGGTGCTGAAGGCAGCAGCACACATGTTGATAAATCTGCACCCTCTCATTTGAGAAGTCAATTGATGTGGTCGGTATAAATAGCTGATTCCTACCACTCTGCATCATCCAGACAGATGCATATTGTTTATATACCCTTATACTTAGTGTTTATGCTCCCTTATACTGCAGCCAACATGAGAGAAGCAGGGACACACTGTTTCACAGCAGGTGTTGACTCAGTGAAACATCCAGTTTTTCTAGGTAGTAATATTATTGGTATACCTAGGACCTTACATAACCCAGAGCGTTTCATTGCTTCTGCACACTGTCATTCCATCAGTATGCCACTGATGCAGGTGATCTGTACACCTGCACAGAGTGGAATTTGCATGTGTAGAATACATACCATGACTAATTTGAAGGTTAGTAGAAAGGTTTAATTACATAAATAACCTCAGACAAAAAGGGATTGGTGTCGTGATGAGATGTATACCAGTATGTTCGTTCACCTGAAGTACTGCAGATAAGGGGCTCCTGTATCTATTCTGATTTTTAGCTGCTCTAGACACCTAAATGAATAAAGGTTAATGATATTTAACAAGATTTTTTGACTGAGTTATGAAATATTATACTTTATACCTCTGCTTGTTTCTCCCTTTTCTCTTTTTAGCTGCTGAGCTTCACCCAAAAGAAACCCTGCTTCACCTGGCAGTGCATTTGGGTTTGGTCCACCTGCACCATTTCTTGCTTCACCAGCAGAGAGGTCAGAGGGCAATAACATTACCCAATCAGGAGGGAGACACAGCCCTCCAGCTGGCTCAGAAGTCTGGACAACATGCCAAGTTCAGGGAGCTGGCAGCGTAAGGCTATGGTTTATCTGTTGTTCAGTCCTTTAGAAATATAATCTTATCTATGTGTGTTACTGTAACACAAGATACATACACACAGTAATACTGTAGTTTCAGTTTGTCAGACCTGTAATTGATTCCAGGGACCTTTGAAAGGGGAATTTCTTGAACTTTTTAAGGAGTTTAAAGGCTTTCTCAAACCTTTTAATCATACCACAAGTGAAGCTCATGCTATTAGCTGATATTATTTGGCTGCTAGAAACAACACATGATCCAAAGATGTGTACGTCACGGCTCAGCCATTATTAACACTATGTTCGTGCGGATTCTCAGTCATCCAGGTCATAGTAAACTGAAAAAAATCAAATGGACTAGGTCTCTAGGTCGAAGACGTTTCAACTCTCATCCAAGAGGCTTCATCAGTTCTGACTGACTGGTGTTGAGCCGGAGATATTTATCCCCCTCGGTGGTGTTTCAGTCCTTTGAAGGACAACAATGTCCCCTAACGACTGAGTCGTTATATCCCAGTATCAGTGAGAGTCGTTACCTGTCTTTGAATCCTCCCCTGTCGACCTACGCCTATTGTCCTGGTGGGCATGTTTGGGCAGAGATCAAAACAGGATTGTAGATGGAAGACAAGATGTGTCTTAGTCCACCACCCCTATTTAGTGAGGGGTGTTCTATTTTTACAAAAATAGCTTCCTTAACTCCTCTCTCAAACCAGTGATGTTCTCTGGAGAGGATCTGGACTTCACTGTCCTCAAAAGAATGTCCTCTGTCCTTCAGGTGGAGGTGGACTGCTGACTCTGGTCCACTGGAGTTGGCCCTCCTGTGTTGGGTCATGTGTTTGTGGAGCAGCAGCTTAGTTTCACCAGTCCAGTTGAAGTTTTTTTCAGATTATTGTCACTACATGCAAAACATTGTAGGATATGGTTCTTCTTACCATTGCTAACTCTGAGAGACGAGACAGTCCAAGTAACTTCAAAACAGTGCTGATTTATTCAAAGGATCACAGGTAAAATTAACATTACATACTCAGGTATCTTGCACCTCCAAACTGGACACAGGCAGATGTAAGATGAAAGACCCTGAACCCACCAGGCCTATACATTATATCACCTCGGTTGGACTAGCCCCATACTACACAGAAACGTCAGCCGAGACGTCTCTGTTACCAGCTTTGCAGCTGGTCATAGCAGTAGTTAAAACATGAAG